CTTTCCCTTCCCACCCAGTGGAATCCACATCTTGGTCTCAAATATGCAGACAGAGATGAGGCCTAGGGGATGACAGAACTATATGACAGAAGAAACCTGGGTCCCTAAGTGACAAAGTGGAACAGAGCTGGGAATGCTCACTGAGGACTGATAGGACAGAGGGAATTAAACAGTGACCTTCTCTACCTCCCTAAGGTCTCCTTATGGTTTGGGTGTTTTTATAATGGCAGCCTAACTTTAACTAACTATAACCCCTGAATTCTGAAACAATTAAAAAATGAAATAAAGTAATGTGACATTTGGAGGCCAGAAGACTTACCTTTATTATTGATAGAACTGATATTAGACAATGCAACTTGGACCTGCTGGCGAGGAGGCTTCACAAAGCTGAGTAACAAGCTAGAGCTGTTTACTGTCCCAGACACAAGGAGCTGGACCTTCACAGGGCTTTCCGCTGAGCTCCTGCATTTGCACTGTGACAGCACATGCTTCCTGGGATGGCAGCCTCATCCCAAGAGGGATCAGAGAGGAAGGGGTGGCATTATACCTACTCCTTTCCTCTCACCCTACCCCGCAAGTCTGCTACTCCCTGGGAGGAGTGTTATCTCAGGGAAACCCCTCTACACGGAAGAAAATATCAGGAAAGGGAAAAAATATTTCTGACCTCTGCCCCATGGACAATCACCTCTTATGATGCCGGGAAAAACTTCTGGTATAATTTCAAACCATTCCAGATTTAAAAACTAAACTACACGAAATTTAGTAGTTATGGAAGCAGGGCAAACTTATTGCCCACATAGACCCTACAGAAAACTGAAATTGCTGTCCTTCAGGGTTGTACTGGAGGAGCTGGATAGTACAGAGTGACATAAAAATAAATCACAGCAATAAATGCTCAGTGATGCAGTCAATGATTATAGTTTTTAGACTGGAATGCTCTGTCCTAAAGCTTCTCACAGCTGTGAAGAGCTCATCTATGAGGTTGCCCACAGTGTTCTGGTATGCACACATATGAATTTTTATTTTACAAATTAGTATTATTTCATAATGTACAGATACTAATTCACATCTTTTTTAACAAAGTAAATTTGGGGCATCTCTTCATATCAGAATATTTACCTCTACCACAATCTTTTTGGTTTTTTAGTTTTTATTAAGAGAAATTTCAAATATACAAAAATGTAGAGCCACTAAACAAAGACCCCTTGGGTACCTACACACTCCTTCACTCCCACAATTATCAACACATGGTCCTTCTTTCATCTCTACCTCCACTCCCTCCTCCCACCCCCAAGTCATCCCAGCAGTCATCCCATGTCATCTGTAAACGTTCTAGTGTGCATCTCAAATGAGAGGGACTTTTGTTAAAGATATGACCACAGACTGTTACCACACACATGCAAGCCGCAAGCCAAAACTCAACAATATATATTATCATCAAATATATACTGTTCAAATTTCCCCAGGTGTCCCATGAATACATTCTTTGTGATTCATTGATATCTTTTCTTTAGGTACAAAAAAGACTACTGATCCTCATGGTGCTTTGACCATCTTATTTTCCTGAATGTCCTGTAGAGATTGGCTTCCAATCTCTTTTTACTGTATTTGATATAAGCAGATATAATCATGAGATGACCTTATTGTGTATATGTCACCCAGTGTAGCCTGACCTGTTTAGCTACATATTAAAATAGTGTTATTTTGTACTAAATTACTTTCCTTTTCTCTACTTTATATTACTACTAGGACTAATTATATGTTTTTGAAATTGTGTGTGGGTGGGCATGTTATCTAGGAATTTCATTCCCAGGTAGTTAAATGGGTTCACAAAGTACTAGTTATACAAAGCAGGGGTTGGGAACCACCACCCTGCACAAGCCCCAAGCACTTTGGTGGTTTGAAGGAGTCATTCCAAGGAGGACAAAGGCCATGGGTCTGAGCCAGGAGGAAGAGTGAAGAATGGCTTCTGCACCATCTGGCCACTGAACCACTTCACTTAGCACACGTGGCAGCTCTCCCAGCTCCGCTTCCTCACCAGGCCCAGGTTGATGCCACCTCTGCATCATCCCCTGAAAAAGAGGTGTCAATCTGCCCCTGTGTTATTGAGACCAGAAAAGAAAACACTGGAGGGGTGAGGGGACCCTGAACTCTCTCTCCAGGTGGGAAGACCTGGGCTGACATGGCTCTGCTCTATGGAATCCTCTGGGGGCCACCTCTGCATCATCCCCTGAAAAAGAGGTGTCAATCTGCCCCTGTGTTATTGAGACCAGAAAAGAAAACACTGGAGGGGTGAGGGGACCCTGAACTCTCTCTCCAGGTGGGAAGACCTGGGCTGACATGGCTCTGCTCTATGGAATCCTCTGGGGTTTGAAGGGTATGCAGGGCACTCAGAGAGTGAGGTCCCAGAGGGAGATCCCAGGCTTCCTGCTGGCCTGGTTTTGTAATTTATACAAAGAAAACCTTACAGTCCTCTTCAGTATACTTCTCTCTCCACTCTGTGAGACGACACACTGTTGTGGTGGGTGGGAGGCCTCTGAGTGAATCCTCATTGCTTCATTGTGTGAGAAAGCCACAGAAATAACATATAAAAATTACTAACATATAGTGATGTGCTCTTGTTTTATTTGGAGTGGGTGTGTGGGCATGCACCTTCTGAACTCACTTTTGTCCCACAGCATGAGTAAGTGAACAGCGGCACATTCTTGGGGAGAGGGGTTAGGCTTTTATAGCTGCTCCAAAATGGTCTTTGATCCAGGAACGGATGAGAAGTGTAGGTTGCAGGAGTCTCTCTGTTAGTGTCCTCTGCATTTTGTGGTCATTTCTGTGGCTATGGGCTCTCAGGAACCCCTGTTCTGCAGGGTCCCCAGTGCTGTCACGTCTCTTTACTGCACAGTCAGGAGCAGGGCTCCTGGCTTCCATGCAACACTGGGAACCCAGGGCCTCCTGGGTGGGACAACAAGCCACAGGGGTGGGTGGTGCTGGCCCTCCCGCCCAGCCTCCCCAGCTTGGCCACCCCTTCTGAGAGTACAGGTGGCCTCCTGCGGCCTGGGAGTCCAGCTCCTTGGAAACGTGAAGGCCCTTCGGCTGCCCCAGCCAAGCTCCCTTCCCCCAGGCCAGCCCTCACGTGTGGCCCAAGCCTGCTTCCAGTTGTCAGGAAGTCTTTCACTCTCTGCGACCAATCTCCTGCCCTTCCTCTGGTGCCCCGTCAGACTCTTATCTCTGCAGGCCCTACTCTGTCGCTTTGGACCTTAGAAAGTTCCCCTCATGTCCAGCCTGCTGTAGGCCCCCAGCTCTGTTTGGAGTGGGAAGCAGGGGGCTGTTTCCATCTCCCTGGGAGCCAGCCGTGTTGTCCCCCTCCTTCCTCCCTCCACCCCTACAGGAGGTCACCGCGGAACGGCACCCTTCTCCCCTCGGGGTGGCAGCTTTAATTCCCTTTGAAGCACCGAGAGCCGGCGATCTTCGACTCCCCCAAAGCCCTCCCTTCCCAATTCTGACACTTAGACGCGAGTCGGGTTGGAGGGGAAAAAATCTGCTTTATTTAATAGTCATAATTCCTGGGGGTGGCTACGGAGGGAGCGAGGGCTGCGCTCCGACGGTGTCGGGGGCCGGCGGGTCTCAGAGCTGGGAGAAGGCGGCCTCGGGGTCGCAGGCGGGGTCGCCGCGGCAGCCGTCTGCATGGAGAGACGCCGGGTCAGGGCCCGCCACGGCCCGCCCCGCCTGGTCCCGGTGTCCCGGTCCCGCCCCGGCCCCAGCCTGACTCACCCGGATTGCAGCAGATGCCGGCGGCGGCGCAGCGGCCCCCGCTCCCGCACGGCTTCTGGCCCGACTGGCAGGGCGACGGCAGGTAGCTCTCCTCCTGGCAGCGCAGCGCCTCGGCCGTGCCCACGAGGCAGCCCAGCTCGTCCCCGCAGCAGATGCTGGGCCCGAAGCAGCGGCCTTTGCCCCCGGGGCCGCAGGGGAGACACTGGCGGGAGGGCGGCGGTGAGCCGGGGGCGGGGAGGGGCCCGGGCCCGGGAGGGAGAGCCTGCGGGGCGGGGGCCTGAGCCGGGTGGTGGAGGACAGGGCAGAGGAGCGCCGGAGGTTCGGGGTCTCCCTGGCGCTCTTTGGGCCCCAGAAGCGGTGGAAGGAGGGAACTCAAAAGCTACTCTTATGCCTTGGTTCCCAGGCCAGGCGGGGCCGGCGCGGGGTCAGCGCGGGAAAGGGAGCGGCAGGGGCGCCCCTGTGGCTGCGGGTTGCCCAGCCTCAAGCGCCGGAGGACTAGGGCTGGGCGCTCACCTTGCGTACGTCGAGGTCCAGCACGGCTCGCTTGCCGCCCAGGGGGCAGTTCTGGATATAGCAGGCGGAGGTCAGCGCTATGAGGCCGAGCAGGCAGCAGGCAAGGCTGGGGCCGGCCATGGTGCGGGCGCGCTGGGTCCGGGGTCCGGCGGCTGCGCTGTCTCTCTGGCCCGGCTTTTTATGCCCAGGGGCCGCGTAGGCGGAGCAGTGTCTAAGAGGGCCGCCGCATGACTGGTCACAGCAGGCCAATGCGGGTCAGGCCCTGCGCCCCCGGCGTGCCCCCTCATTTGCAGGGGCCAGGCCGGGTCAAGGTCACCACATCTGCTAATGGCTAATGGACCTGGCGATGATAGCGAATGCCGAATGCCGCTAGGGGAAGGAAGCAGCTCTGGGAGGGGAGCCAGTGCCGTGGCCTGGGCCCTGGGGTGGGACAGGGTTTGGTGGGGGGGGGCCCCTGCAGCCCCCTCCCCCGTTCCCAGTACCTTGGGGTGGGAGTCAGGCTGGACTCTCGGGCCCCTCCAGGCCAGAAGAAACTCCAGCAGGACTCCCCCTCTGCCCTCTCGGCCAACCACACACGCAGCCTAGCTCCCCTCTACAAAGAAGTCCTCCTCTTCCTGAACACAGATTTCCTGGAACCCCAGCCCCACTCCCCACACCAGCAACCATTTCCCTGCACCTGGAACTGGGATCGGAAAAGATTTTATTTTCTCTCACTTCTAACTGAAATTCAGCCTTTCCTCAGCTGTGAGGTAGACAACAAACCGCAGTGGACTTTGCAATACCCATGGCTTTGTTGCAAATCAAAATGGCAGATCTCCTCCTATCCCATTACAACAGCTATCTCAACTGTCTCTAAACATCAGACTCATCATCACTTTGAAATTATGGCAGTTATTGGACCTGCCACTAGATCTTGTTATCTAATGCTTTAAATAAAGAAGCACATTTGTGACTGTATCTCAAATGTTTTTAATATTTTGATACCTGCTCATAAATATAACGGGTTTCATTTGTAATTCTATGTTTTTAGTTATGCATTTAAAAACAGTGATTTTGGGAGACTTCCCTGGTGGTCCAGTGGTTAAGAATCCGCCTTCCAATGCAGGGAACTAAGATCCCACATGCTGCGGGGCAATGAAGCCTGTGCACTGAAAGTACTGAGCCTGCAGGCCACTACTAGAGAGAGAAGCCTGCTCGCCACAACTAGAGATCCTGTATGCCGCATGAAGATCCCGCGTGCCGCAACTAAGACCCAACACAGCCAAAAATAAAATTGAAAAACAACTGATTTTTTTTGCATTTTTAATTTACAGTATCTTAAAAGGAAAATCATTAAAAATAAAAGAAAGACAGACTGACTCAGTGGAAAGGGTGTTGATCGGTGTTGTCATGACCAGGGAGGTGTTCAGCATGGATCCTCCTTCAAGAAGGGACTTGCCACCCAGCTGCTGGGAGAGTGGTCATCAGATAGCCTTTGGCTGACATCCCATCCAAGGCCTGCCTCAGCTACAGAGAGCTGCCTGTCCCAAGGTCATAGTCACATCCTCCCCCGGTGGCCCACATCCAATGACTGGTCCATTTTGGCCTAATGCCGGACAACTCTTAAGGATTATTTCAGCTCAGGACATCCCTGTGGGGTCAATTGAGGCTTGCGTGGAAATTCTCCCTCCGCCTAGCCTTGTTTCCACCTCCTCCCTCCCACAAGTGTGGGTCCCAAGGGCCCTTGGTAATAAGCATCCTGCATGTTAAACTCCATCTCAGTCTGCTCTCTGGGGATCCCAACGTGCAATAGGAAAAAATGAGGTCCTTGTCATCCCTGGGAGAGGAGACAGCCTCCTCTGCACTGTTGTTGACCCCCTCAAGGTGGGTGCTGAGGCTGCCAGGCTGAGCAGATCAGGCTGACCTGGATTACCAGTCAGCAGCTTGTTTTGTTTCTCACCCAAATCAGCTCATTGGCATTGCTGGGCTAGAAGGCCAAGGGCTTGACCCTGGAGGCAGCCCCAGAAAGGCCTCCCGCCTGCCCTGTGAGCACAGTGACCTCACCCAAGTTAACACATGCACATAGATTATTTTAGCATAGTGTCCCCCACAGGACAGCATTCCTTCAGCTGTTCAACAACTGTCATCTGAAGATGCACCAGGTCCCAGTACAGATGCTTGGAAACATCAGTGATACAAACAGACAAAAATCCCAGCCCTCAGGGGCTTATATTCTAGTGGAGGGGGAGAAGCAAGAAACATATTTCAGTGTGTTAGGAAGCAGTAAGTGCTATGGAGGAAAAGGTGGGACTTGTTGCAATTTTCCTGAGGTGCTCAGTCTAGGCCTGTTTGTGAAGGTGACATCTGACATTTGAAGGAGGTGAGGAAAGAAGTCATGTGGATATCTGAGGGTGGACTGGTTTTCTATTGCTATGTCACAAGTTACTACAAATTTAGCAGCTTAAAACAACATCCACTTATTACCCCACAGTTTCTGTGGGTCTGGGCACGGCTCAGCTGGGTCCTCTGCTCAGTGTCTCACAGGGCTGCAGTCAAGAAATCAGCCAGGCAGCATTCCTTTCTGGAGCCTGGGATATTGTTGGCAGAATGCATTGCCTTGCAGCTGGAGAACTCGTGATTTGCATCTTCAATGCCAGCAACAGAGAGAAAGAGTCTTTGGTACTTCAAGTCTCTAAGTGCAGGCAACCCTCTTTTATTTTATTTTATTTTTTTAATAACTTTTTTAACTTTATGTATGTTTTCTTTTTTTTTAATGTAAATTTATTTATTTATTTATTTTTGGCTGCGTTGGCTCTTCGTAGCTGCGCGCGGTCTTTCTCTAGTTGCTGCGAGCAAGGGCTACTTTTCGTTGTGGTGCACAGGCTTCTCATTGCGGTGGCTTCTCTTGTTGTGGAGCACGGGCTCTAGGTGAGTGGGCTTCAGTAGCTCTGGCACGCAGGCTCAGTAGTTGTGGCTCTCGGGCTCTAGAGTGCAGGCTCAGTAGTTGTGGTGCATGGGCTTAGTTTCTCCGCGGCATGTGGTATTTTCCCAGACCAGGGCTTGAACCCGTGTCCCCTGCATTGGCAGGCGGATTCTTAACCACTGTGCAACCAGGAAAGTCCCCAACCCTCTTTTAAAAGGGCTCACCTAATTAGGCCAGGTCCACCAGGGTCATCTTCTAACTCAAAATCAAATTGATTAATTTGGATAATTGGGCCCTTAATTACATCTGCAAAATCCCTTCATCTTTAGCTTATAGTATAATCATGGGAGTGATCCCCCAACACTTTTGCCATATTCTTCTGTTGGTTAGAAGAAAGTTACAGGTCCTACCCACATGCAACTGGAGGAGATTACACAAAGGTATGGATACCAGGGGTGGGAATCACAAGACTATTTTAGAATTCTGGAGGGAGACTATTCTAGGCAGGGGAAAGAGCAAGTGCAAAGGTCCTGAGGTGGGAATGTTTGACATGTTCAAGGAATAGCAAGGAAGCCAGTGGGACTGGAGCAGAGTGACTGAGTCCTGAGGTCAGAATGGTCACATAGGACTGGGTCACATAGGCCCAAATGAAATGGGGAACCAGAGAGGGTTCTGAGCAGAGGCATCATGTGATTGGGTTTACATGTTATTAGCACAACTTTGGATATCTTGTTGTGAAAAGGCTGTGGGGAAAAGGTGGAAGCAGGGAAGAGGAGGATACTGCAGCAATGCCTGCGAGGAATGACAATGGGCTGGACCAAGGTGGTGGGCAGAAGTGACCCATTTCTGGGTGTATTTAGAAGGAAGCACCAGTTGAGGTTTGCTGATGGGTTGGCTATGGGTGGGAGAGAAAAAGAGGAGTCAAAGACAACTCCAAGGCTTTTGGCCTGACCAGTGGGAAGAAAGGAGCTGCCATCAGCTGGGATGGGGACCCTGAGGGTGGCTCAGATTGGGGCTGGGAAGGGCAGGAGCTCAGTGTGGACATATGACATTTGAGGTGTGCATCACATATCCAAGGAGACTGTGAGCAGGCATTTGGGTTTTAGAGTCTGGAGTTCAGGAGAGAGGGCTGGGCTGCAGATATGTAAATGTGGACATCATCAGTGCCAATATGTAAAGGCACAGACCTGAAGGAGGTCACTTAGGGGGAGTGAACTGAACCCCGAGTAAGGTCGGAGAAAACAAGATTATGAAGATGGGATTTCAAGGAGGAGGAAATGATCAGTTGTGCCAAATGCTGCTTGACATAAAAATTGAAATTCTTTATTTAAACAATTTGAATAAGGTATAATTTATATAGCATAAAATTCACCCATTGTAAGAGCGCAGTTTGATGATTTTTAGTAAACAGTTGTGCAACCATCAGCACAAATCCAATTTTAGGACGCTTCCATCCTAGGAAAAGTCCTTCGTGCTTGTTTGCTATTACTCCTTGTTCCCATCCTCAGCCCCAGGAAACCACTGATATAGATTCACCTTTTCTAGAAAGTTCCTATAAATGGAACCACACACAGTATGTAATCTTTTGTGTCTGGTTTCTTTCACTTGCCATAGTGCTGTTGAGGTTCATCCAAGTGATTGTATGTGTCAGCAGTTTGTTCCTCTGTATTGCTGAGACGTAGTCCATGGATGGACCACATTTTGTTTATGCATTCATCAGTTGATGGACATTTAATTGTTTCCAGTTTTGGCTATTACAATAATCTTGCTATGAATATTTATGTACAAGTCTTTGCATGGGCATATGCTTCAATTCTCTTGGTTAGTTACCGAGGAATAGAATTGCTGGGTCCTATAGTAAGTGTTCGATGAATTCTTTAAGAGGTGAGCAGTGGGCTTCCCTGGTGGCGCAGAGGTTATGAATCTGCCTGCTACTGCAGGAGACACGGGTTTGAGCCCCGGTCCGGGAATCTCCCACATGCCGTGGAGCAACTAAGCCCATGCGCCACAACTACTGAGCCTGTGCTCTAGAGCCCGCGAGCCACAACTACTGAGCCCATGTGCCACAACTACTGAAGCCTGCATGCCTAGAGCCTGTGCTCCGCAACAAGAGAAGCTATTGCAATGAGAAGCCCATGCACCGCAGTGAAGAGTAGCCCCCACTCGCTGCAACTAAAGAAAGCCCGTGTGCAACAATGAAGACCAAATGCAGCCAAAAATAAATTAATTAATTAATTAAA